ATATATATATATATATATATATATATATATATATTAGAATAAAATATGAATAAATATTACATTAATAACAAAATATATATTATAAAAACAATAAAAATAAAAATAATTCAATTAGCAAATATCATATTATTTGATGAAATACTATATACTATACTAATATTAAATACTATATATAACAAAAAGAAATGTACAGAATATATTTGACATTTCATTTGATACTTATGCAATACAAATCTGACATTTCGATACAATTCTTCGTTTAACTTTATTTTTTAAAAAAATAATAAAAATAACTTCTTTTAATAATAAATTATCGAAATATTTAAAATTTAATTTGAATACAATCTAATATTTTTTTTCCATATCGAATGAATAATAATCATATATTTATTATATAAATGTTTTCGTATTTTACGTACTGACTTTCATACTGATTTATTGAAAAATACTAAAATTTTAATAATGCAAAGAATATTATGATATAAAATTGTCTTATTAATGTAATATAAAAATGAATTATCTGTGAAGAAATGAATAATTTTATATTAAAATTATATACTTTTTTTTATTAAGCTTTATTAAGATCTAAGCATAACAAGGTTGTAACTTGTTATGTTGCTTCCTGGGCCATTTACAGAAATCATAATGGAATGTTTGAAATCTCTGATGTCAATCCAGAACTTTGTACGCACATTATATATGCATTCGCCGGATTAAATAATGAATCATGGACTATTAAGAGCCTTGATCCTCATTTGGATATCGAAAGAGGTACATATAGGAGTAGAAATACTTAGAGATAAATTAAAATAATTTATGAATGATATCATTATTCATTGTTTTAGATAATTATAAAAATATGATCCAACTTCATAAGAAGAATCCTAACTTGAAAATCCTTCTTGCAATAGGAGGATGGAATGAAGGCAGTCAAACCTATTCTGTACTTGCTTCATCTCCCGATCGTAGAAGTAAATTTATTGATAGCGTAGTGAAATTCCTTGGGTATAAAATCAAATATTAAGATAATTTATTATTTTACAGATTTGTTTATTAATAATTCTTAATAATTTATATTTTACAGTGAATATCATTTCAATGGATTCGATCTAGATTGGGAATATCCAGGATCACGGGGGGGTATGCCTGCGGACAAACAAAATTTTGTTTCTCTTCTCAAAGTATATATGTATAAAGAACATAAAAAAATAGATATATATTTTTACGTTTGAAATTATATAATTAAAAGAAATTAAAAATTTATTATATTTTCTTAAAGAATATAATTTTTTAATAGGAATTAAAAGAAGCATTCAAAAAATCGAATTATCTATTAACAGCAGCTTTAAGTTCTAATAAAGCAACTATCGATATGGCATATGATATTCCCGAAATTTCAAAATATCTCGATTATATTCATGTAATGGCTTATGATTATCATGGTACATGGAATAGAAAAGTACTTCCGAATGCACCATTAAAAAGCGAAGACGGTCAAAGTGTGGTAAAGCATTTAAATAAAATATAATGAGATATATTATAAAATATTTTAAATATATATATATATATATTTGTATATATGTATATATGTTTATATATATATATATATTTGTATATAAATATAATAAATATCGTAAATAGAATTCATAAATGGAATAAAGTTTTCGTTTAGGTGGATACACTTACATATTTGTTAAGTAAAGGTGCACCACCAAATAAAATAGTATTAGGATTGCCAATGTATGGAAGAACTTTTATTTTGGCTAACAAACTGAATTCTTCTAAAGAAAGTCCTATTGGTCAAACAACCATATCAGATGGATTCAAGGGACCTTATACAGGTCAAAATGGTTTCATGGGATATAATGAAGTATGTTTTATTTTTGTTAGATTTAAGTTGAATTCCAGTTATATTTATCAATTTGATTTTATTAATAAAATTCTATTATATACATATATATTTTAATATATGTAACTTGTATATATATATATACATATATAAATATTTTTTCAGATTTGTGAAGAACTAATAACTAATGTACAGAAGTGGATAACTGGGTGGGATGATAATAGTAATACACCTTATGTAATCAATGATGATCACGTTATTATGTTTGATAATCCGAAAAGTTTAAAAGCAAAGGTTAATTAATATTTATCATAAATAATGATAATATTAATTAAAAATATTTAATAAATATTTTATAGTTTTACTATTTTTTTAATATTTCTAGATTGAATACGCGATGAGTTTAAATTTATCCGGTGTAATGATTTGGAGCATTGATACTGATGATTTTAGTGGAAAATGTGCATCTCTTAATAATTCTCTAGATCTAAGAGAAAAAAAATATCCTTTATTAAGATCAATCAACATGGTTTTGTCACAGATTGATTATCATAATGACTTAAATGACAATAATGATGATGACAATGATAAAAATAATAAAAACAACAATAACACATCTTCTGTTATAAGATTTTCAAATAATTTGATTTTAATAATATTTTTTTTTTGTATTTCATTTAAAATGAATCCATAATGAATAAAAAGATAATATATCAAAAATTAAATATATTTTTTTATAATAAATTCGAAAAAATATTTTTAAAACTATTTTTCCATTTTCATCTTTATTAAATATAATAGTAAATATGATTCACAAAACATTTAGTATTTATAATAATCACATAATTTATAATTTATAATTTACATAATTTTTATATTTAGAAATAAATTTTTTATTTAAAATAAATATATGTAAAATGTATTTAAATTTAAATTTTCTTTGAGAAATATTTTTTCTTCCAAAAAGTAATACAATATAATCTATAATATAATTTATTTTATTTTTCCTTAATATAATTTATTACATAATTCATTATGTCAGAAATTTATTTATTTTGTAAGGATATTTAAATAAATAATAATAATTTTTAAATTTTTGAACATGATTATGTAAAGATTATATTAATTTTTTCTTAACATAAAAATTGTAGTATAATTTATACAATTTATATTTTTTATTTTATAGAGATAAAATTAAATATCTATGAAATATTCTTATATATAGTAATAATAATTATTATGTATTATAATAATACAACAATGTATTATAATAAAATACGCTCAAAATTTTATATTTTTTTAATTTTATAATATTTTGATATTCGATTATATTATTAAAATTAATTGAAAAAGATTTTTGGGGGAAATTAAATATTTCTAGGTGGAAAATTTAGGAACTGTTTTTTTATATAAAGAGCAAACTTATTGTTCAAACTTCAGTTGAATGACATTTCAATCTGTTTTATATCTATAAGAAACATGGCGCTTAACAAAGCTGATTGGCAAACTCCTGCACCATTATGGCAAAATGGTCCAGTACCTGGTGCATTTTATCATTTTCCGGGAAGTTCTACGCATTTCGATGTTGGAGGATTCCAAAGATCACAGTAAAATTTTTTATCATATATTCATTTTCGTTGTGAAAATTTTTTTTTAAAATTGCATGTCATGTTTATTTTCAATGAATTTGAAAATTACAAATTATATGTTAATTAAAATATACAAATGATATAATAATTAAAAAAGTAATATTTTTAATATTCTAATAAAATAAATTTATAAAATTTGAATTGTTCTACTATTATTATACTAATTATTTGATTAAGTCTAATTTTTCTAATCATCAAATATATTTTTCTTTAACTTGATATTGTTTTTCTCTTTTATAGAGCACCAATGACAACTGGTACATCTGTAGTTGGAATTCAATTTAAAAATGGTATTCTCATAGCAACAGATATTCTTGGATCCTATGGATCATTGGCTAGATATAGAAATCTTGAACGTGTGATGAAAGTGAATGATAATATTATCCTTGGTGCAGGAGGAGATTATGCTGATTATCAATGCTTAAAAAGTCACATTGAAAGAAAAATGTATATTTCAATTATGTTTTCATAATTATTTTATATAAATTTCAATATTTTTTTTTATTTTTATTATTTTTTTATATCTTATAGTCTTGAGGAAGAATGTCTTGATGATGGTTTATCTTTAAAACCAAAAGCTCTTCATTGTTGGTTAACTCGAGTATTATATAATAGAAGATCACAGTTTGATCCATTTTGGAATAATTTTATTATTGGAGGTTTAGAAGGGGATAAGCTGTAAGTTCACTTTATTTTCCTTTTATATTAAATGTAATAATATAATATTTTCAATTTATTTAGATTTTTGGGTACTGTGGATAAACTTGGTACAGCCTATAGTGACCCAGTAATTGCAACTGGATATGGTGCATATATGGCAACACCTATTTTAAGAAAAGCTTATGAAGAAAATAAAGAAATGAGTAAAGAGCAAGCAATTGAACTTTTGTATAAAGTGATGCAAGTTCTTTATTACAGAGATGCACGGTCTTTTCCAAAGGTAAATAATAGTATAAGAATTTCATATATGTATTTGTAACATTATATTAAAAGAGAAATTTAATTTTTTTAATTTTTAGTATCAAGTTGGAGTTATCACAAGGGAAGAAGGTGTTGAAATACAAGGACCATTAACTTTAGATAGTTATTGGGGACCTGCTATTATGTAAAAATAAATATAAGTAATTTTTCTTAATAAAAATATCTGTAACAATTCTATTAAATGAATTTTTTCTATACAATTTTTAATTATATTTTTGAAGCAATGGAAAATATACACAAAAAGTAAATTTATAAGGTTAACGAGTTAATACGTTACAACCAGTATCAGTAACTAATACAGTATGTTCGCATTGTGCTGTTCTTGCATTATCTACTGTAACAGCTGTCCATCCATCTTCTAAAATTTTAATTTCCTCACTACCCTGACTTAAAACTGGTTCAATAGTAAATGTCATTCCAGGTAACATTTTTCCATCAAAATTATTTGCTAATAATAATATAAGACAATTTTTTTAAATGGTTTATATATAATATAGAAACAATAACTTACCAAAATGAAAAATATCTGGTGGACCATGAAAATAAGTACCTATACCATGTCCTGCAAATATAGGAATTATAGAATATCCATTTTTATTTGCTGTTTCTTCAATAATATTTCCTGAAAAATAAAAAAAAAATATTCAAATTATATAATTATATTATTTTTGAACTATTATATAATTATTACCTATACTGGAGAAATTTTCATTAGGTTTACAAATATCAATAGCATTTTTTAAGCACAATTCTGTTATGTGTATTAAACGTTTTGCTTCATCATCACATTCTTCTACTTCAAACATTTTTGAACAATCTCCATGATAACCATGTAAATATACCTAAATAGAAAAAAATAAAACTTTTATTTTTATATATTTTTACATTTACAAATGCAACAATATATTTATATTACATTATATTATTTTACATATAATATATTATTGTTTTTACTGACTGTTACATCAACATTTAATATATCTCCTTTCACTAATGGTCTTTTATCTGGAATTCCATGACATGCAACATTATTAATACTAGTACATATTGACTTTGGAAACCCTTTATAATTAAGTGGACTTGGATAAGCTCCATTACTTATAATCATTTCATGAACTATTGCATCTAATTCATCTGTAGTTATCCCAGGCTAAAATAAAATTTGAAAAGTAAGAAGAATAAAAATAACAAAATTGTATTGTTAATTAAATTTCATATAGCTTATTATATTTTTTATACCTTTATATATTGTTTAATATGAGTCAATACTTTTTTGGCAAAATTACAACTATCTTTCATGCTTTGTATTTGATTTTTATCTTTAATTTCAGGTTTTTTTGGACCATCACGTGGAATTAATGTTTGACTATAAGAAGGTTTAGGAATATATGATGGTACTTCTCTAACTTCAGAAATTTCCCATGGTACAATAACCTCGTAACTTCCAAATGAATTATTTATAAATTTACGTGGTATTGTCTAAAAAATTATGTTGAATAATTATATGATTATATAAAATAAAAATGTCTTTTAAAAGTAAGCGTACTTTAGACTTTTTTTTAAAAAAACTTCTGAGAAACATTTTCGGATTATTTAATTGAAAGATTTCGTACTTATGATTTTATTAAAGAATATTCATTCTTCTTGCATAAAAATTTATTAAAAGAGCATAAAAAGTTTGTGAATTTACTTTTGACTTAAAGAAAATCACTCGACTTGTGATTTTACGTCACATCATTACTATTTGTTATCTGTATATAAGAATCAGCTGTCAAGTAGTACGCATGCTAGTTATAAACTTTAGATGTTATTTAAAACAAAACAAAGAATTTGTTAATATAGAGTATAACCTTAAAAAAGTTTATATAGAAACCATGAACACTATGAAATCGTTTCGTGAAATAGTGGCAAATGCAAAAAATGTATTGATATTGACTGGTAGTGGAATTTCTGCAGAATCTGGTATTCCTACATTTAGAGGGGCTGGTGGTTTCTGGAGAAAATATCCAGCTGAAAGTCTTGCAACTCCAACAGCATTTGCAGAAAATCCTTCTTTAGTTTGGGAATTTTATGAATATCGTAGACGAGTAGCATTAGAAGCTAAACCTAATAAGGTATTTTAATAACTACAATATATTTTTTTAAAGATATTATTTTGAATGGAATTTCTAGGCTCATGAAGCAATAGCAACTTTCCAAGATCGTTATTTAAAGCAAGGTAAAAATGTTACGATTATAACGCAAAATATTGATGAACTTCATCAAAGAGCAGGAGCTAAAGATGTAGTGGAACTTCATGGTTCACTATTTAAAACTCGTTGTACATTTTGTCATGAAGTTGTTAAAAATACAAATATTCCAATATGCCCTGCATTAAAAGGAAAAGGGTAAGATTTTTTTTATACTTTTATATAAATGATATTTGCATACAATCATGAATATCAATAATATAAACATGAATAGATCGCCAGATCCAAATATTATGAGTTCTGATATTCCAAAAGAAGATTTACCTCATTGTCAAAAACAAAATTGTAAAAATATATTGAGACCTCACATTGTATGGTTTGGAGAAAATTTAGATGATTATATAATGCAACAAGCATGTAAGTATTATAATAATTATTATGAATAAATATTATATGAAAATATAATATAAAATTTTAATAATATAATATATAATAATGATTAATAAATAAAATAGCGATTAATCGAATTGTAATTATGTCTAATCATAATTAACAAAGTTTTCTCCAATATTTATTATTCATCAAATCTCAATTTTTTTCATTAAGTTAATTGAAATTTTTCCATATTATAATTTAAGATTATTAAAAGATTATAAATTATATTATAATTTAAATTAAATATCTATTTAATAAAATAAAATTATATTTTAATCTTTCTATTAAATATTAGATATTGCAGTTGAAAATTGTGATGTTTGTCTGGTTATCGGTACGTCATCTATTGTTTATCCTGCAGCAATGTTTGCACCATATGTAGCACAACATGGAATTCCTGTTGCTGAATTTAATTTGGAAACAACTCCTGCTACATCATATTTCGAGTAAGTTGAAGTTAATTTGAATATTGAAAGCATTTTGTATATAAAATAGTTACATAAAAAATTTTTATATAAAAAAAAATAATATATTAAATCCAATAAATATTATATTAAATTTATTAAAATATTAAAAGTTTTATATCAATATCTTAATTGAAATATTTTTTCTTATAACAAAAAGTTATAAAATTTATTTATATTAACAATTATTAAATTTTTCAATTTTTTTTCTTTAAATTTCAGCATTTATCTGCAACAAAATAATATTATTTTAATATGCATTATTTTAAAGGTATCATTTTCAAGGTCCTTGCACTATTACTGTACCAGAAGCTTTAGGATTATGATTTCTGGATATAAATAGAACATTTTGAACATATAGAATATTTACCTTGTACTAAACATATTTCAACATTGAGTCCAAGTTGATGTAAGTACTCTAACCATAATTTTTGCTTTGTTGAAAGAATATCACGAGGACCTTTTACTTCTATAATTTTATGCTTTAAAAAATATTTTTAATTAAAAAATATAAAATTTTAATTATGAAAAATTATATAATATAAAATATAAAAAATATATTTTTTAATAGTTTTAATAATATTATTTTTAATAAATATACGTACTTTTTTGGTATCATAATTCCAAACAATTAAATCAGGAAATCCAGCTCTCCAAAGTTTAAAATTTTCAATGAGTCGTTTACAAATCCCTACTACACCTTGTACTCCCAAACAGTGTACTATTTCCTATAAATAAAAATGTTGTATATTATTACATTTTTTGATGAATCTCAGATAATAAAATATCAATAAAATTACCTCCAATTGTAAATTATTATCCAAATTTGTTAACATTACCGATTTATATTGTTTAAATATTATAAATTTTTCTTTCATTCTAGAACTTAATAATTCGGAACTTAAATCACTAATTATTTTAAGTTTCATATCTATTTTTTCTTTTCTATTTTTATAAAATTGGTCTGTATATAAATCTGCCGGAGCTTCTTGATATGGTGTTACAAATGCTCCAGGAATATGTATATCATATAATTCTTCCCAAAATAAAGTACAAAATAGTATATTTGGTAATGCACCTTCACAGTGTAATCCACTGGAAAATCCTTGTTTTTGATAATGATGGAATGCAACAGTTTCTACTGAGCCATAAGTTTGGTTCTTAGTATTATTTTCTATACACCAAATACTTTTATTTCCTGCAGTATTTCTAAAATAATTTAATTCTACATTATATTTTAAAATAAAAAAATTATAATACATATAAAATTAAATTTACCTTGGCATTACTGTAGCATTTATAATGATAGATGTTGGCTTATATTTTGGCATATGAAGAATATTATCATCTAAAATTTTATTAATAGTAGTTTTTGTAATTGATTTAATTACTTTTTTCTTGACAATTTTATTTGCTCTATCTATAAGAATTACTTTATCTACTTGTGTCAAGTTTTCTGTATTTAAAGCTTGGATTATGATAGATGCAGATATTTCTATATTTTTATGATGATGCATTTCAATGAGAGCTAATTCCTCATACCATTTTCCTTTATAGGATAGCATATGACAGTTTTGTTTTAATAGAAATGATAAAATTTCTATTACTCGCTTTTTATCTTTATTCTTTTTGAATGCTTCTATACATTTAGAAAGTATTTTTAACCATATATATCCTGGCATATAATATCTTACATGCATAGGAAGTATAGAATTTTTTAATCTGTAAAAATTAAAATTGAAATTATCAAGTATTTTTTTTTATTAAAATTTATATTACTTTAATGACTCAATTTCCAATAAATTTGGTAATCTATCCATAGCTAAATTTCCATATTCTTGTACTTTTTTCCAATTTTTGTTTTCAATACATTGTAATGTTATAGATAATATAGATTTAGCTTCCACATAACTACAAATAAATAAAATTATTAAAAACAATTAAAATTTATATCAATTTTTATATTTTTTGCTGATTAAAAAAAAACTTACTTTAATAAATGTAATTTACAAGAAAATATTGGAAAATAATTTCCAGTATTATTTGGAAATATTGTCTTTCCTAAATAAATATCATATAAAGAGTAAAATATATCTGATGTACTGTCTCTTGGTCTTTGATTTGGTATTAATAATGTTATAATTCTATCAATAATATTCCATGTTTTAGGTGTAATACATACACAATAATCTAATATATCAAGTATTGAAGCATATAAAAAATTACTTGACGACTTTATTCCAGGAATAAAGGTTTATTGTTTGACAGTTTTAATAATTTTTGAATATTACTTTTTTTGTTTCCTTTAGGATTAATTTTCATGTTCTTACAAAGTTGCTGAATTTCATTTACTTGTAATAATTCAAGTATTGTAGATAAGTTTTCTTTTTGAATATCAAAAGTACAAATAGATCGTGAAACAAGAATTTGAAATATATCTTTTAACTCTGTATCTATTTCTGGATAACTTATGTTACTTTTTCTAAACCATTTTTTTTTCTTTTTATCATCCTAGCCAATAACATTTGAGCATTTATAGGAAGGGTAATTATAGAATATATAAAATCAAGATCATTTTCATCAAAATAACCACAATTAATAGGAAGAGAAAGTACACTAAAAATAGTAGTGAAGAAGATTTTAGACTTCAAATCACTGCATAAATTTATATTGTTTAATTTATATTTCATTAAAATTTCAGTATTTATATTATTATATTGATAATCAAATGTACTTTTGGAATATATTTTTTCTAGATCAAAGTTATGTAATGAAATAGCACCTTGCTTTACTAAATTCATATTTTCAATAGTCTGAATAAATAAAACAGAATTGTTAATGTTTTCATCAAACAAGTTTTTTTTTTCAATAATTTTTGGAGATTTATTTTCAAATGATATTCCAGATGTGTAATTTAATTTTTTATGTGTAGAAGAACTATTAGTATTTTGTAATGAAAAATTATTTTTATTTGGAGTCTTTTGTTTTATATTTGCAGAATTTGATTCCTTAGTTGGAGTTTTTTTTAAATGAGAATTATTATTACTATTAAATACTAATGTTTTCATATAATCGTTACTTAATTTATTTTCTAATGTTTCTTGTAATTGCATATTAGTATTTGATGTTTTTTTCAAGTGATCATTTTCATGTAATGATATATTATTTTCCATTATTTCGTCATCATATTGAATCATTTTTATATCATTTAAAAAGCTATCATGCATTTCATTAGATTTTTCATATATAATAGTACAATCTGATACATTATCAGATTCTATTTGTGACAATGAAATATTTTGTTTTCCATTTCTATCTTTTTTTCTCTATAAAAATAAAAAAGAATAATTTGATTACGTACAGTACCTTATGTAAATATATTTAAAAATTGATATAAAAATTTTTAAAAGATATGAAAATGTCAACTAACATTTTTTGAATACGGTACAGTTTTTAACCTAGAATGCTTTTTAATTATATCCGAAGTATATTTATTGCCGACTGTTTTATAAAATTGATCAATGCGTGTTTGATGTGACATTATTTTATATTTATATTTCGGTAAATAATTCAATTATTAATTCATTATTATTAATCCTTAAAAATTAAAGATTTTTCTCAGAGAGAAAAATTTCTATCTGGAAATGTGTCTTCATGAACGTATAGTGAGTAAAAAAAAAATCACTAAATAAAATTCATATTTATCAAGATGAAACTAAGATTTTCTTTTTTTTATACATACTGTTCTATATTTTGAAACAAAGAAAAAAAAAGAAGAAAAAATCAAGGGATATAAAGTTTGTTCATCTTTAAATAATTTTGTTTTTATGCAATGATAAATATAAAGTATAAATATATACTGACGTTATAATTATAGGTGTTTTCTTAATGAAAATTAATAATGAGAATAATTTTAATATTATATCTCTAATGAATAAATACATATACGATATCAATCTCTATCGTAGAAATTAAGAATTGAAAAAAGAGAAAAATTTGCTTAAGACTCTAGAAAAACTTGCTTTTATATATGATTTTTTTTCAGTATAATTTTTTAATAGTTACTATACAAACATTTTATTAAATTAGATAAAATATCCTACTTGCGAATAGTCTTGCAACATACTAAGAAAATTGAACTGTTCAGAAATACTATACATATAGTTAGCGATTATCTTTTGTTCGCATTTGAAAATATTAGTTTATATATTATAGAAAAATAATATGAAACATATCGCATTTTTATATAATATATTACTTGTATATTGTAATATAATTGCAATAATATTTAAATAAAGTATTGAAATGCCGTTTTGTCACCATTTTCATTTGATTCATATAAGTTTATATTTTTTATTTGATTTTAGAATTTAATATTTTTCTTCTTTTAAAATTTAATATTTTTATATTAAATAAAATCAAATAATTTAATATGAAATATTATTCATATTATTTTAAAAAACAAATACGATTGTGGTAATGAGTTTAAAGTTATAAGTTTATATACCTAGATATAAAATTCGAAGTGTTTTTAATAAAAAATTATTTCTGATCTAACTTTTTAATATGTATCATTCTCTTTACACAAAATTTAATATCATACAAATTATATTAATAAATAAAATAATGTTCATTTTGCTAGAATTTTTGGTTACATTAAAAATGAAATAAAATTATATATCTATATAACCTTCAAAGCTAAGGAACATATTTAAAAATTTTTAAAAACATAAATATTAAAATATATACAAGAAATTTTCATATTTAAAATGTAATAAAAAGTTTTGAAAAAGATCTATTTGAAAAATTCTATACAAAATATTTTTAAATTTTATACAGATCAATTTTTTCATATTTATAAAAAAATAAATTTATGAAAATTTATTTTAAAAACTATACACAAAAAAATGTAGTTTACCCGACTATTTTTTTTTGTTTTTTAAAATTAATCCAATTTTGCTAGGAGGGATATCCTAAAAAAATTTATTCTTACGCGATGTAATCAGAATTTATTTTGAAACATTTGCTTGTTTAAATTATTTGTCCAATTTATATTCATCATGAATATTTTCTTGCTAACATTATATGTATATATGTGAAATGCAATTGTATCCTTTTTTGCTTATACTTTTTGAGAAATAAACAATTTATGTACTTTGAGTAAATGTAAATATTTTGTTGTTGTTGTATAGTATAAAATATTCATTTTGATATAAATAGATAAATTAAATAAAGAAAATTTTGTTGATTTAAATGATATAGAAGATATATGTCATATATGTTTTATCCTAACAAATTGCTTATTTTTTTTTTATATTCGAATGCATGATAATCAATTTGGTCATAATTTTGCCAATTTGTGAAATTACACAATTAGAATACACTTAATAATCAAATTGCAATGTGTATATATATACATATATACATATATACACATACAATTGGTTACATTATTTAGTAGATTTAAGTGTTGATCACATTTATTATAGACATTAATGCTAAACAATAGTTGAGTTTAAATTTTTATAAGTAATTTATAGGAAACAACTCATCTACCTGATAACATCTCTACTTCTCTAAAAATATGACAAAGCAAATAAATACATACAAGCATATCTGATTATTTGACTCAAAATATTTTTTATTTTCCGCCGGTAAAATAATTTTAAATTATTATTATTATTGCATACTATGAAAAGCATACTAAAACAAGCATGTTAGAATCAAAGAAAATCAAAGATAAATTTAGGAATGTAATTTTTATTTGTTAGATCTCGACGGTTTATAAGCAATAAATATAATTCACGCAATTTAATTTATATCTAGTGATATTTTATTTGGATCAAATTAAATTTGATACATGCACTCAGCGAAAGGTGTTATCAGGGGACGAGAGAGTAGATGATGTATGTATGTATCGAAGAACAAATTAAAGGGTTGTCTAGATCAAACATTCTACATATATAGAATTTGATATATTTTCCCCTTACGTTCTCCGACTGTATAATCTTGAGAAAAATTCTCTATACTCTCGTCAAACTTTCGTTCAAACTGGAGCTTTGGTTGGAGCGTTTTTTTCCAATTAAATCTTCTTGTCGCACAGCGACATAGAAGCCCTACTGTATTCACAGAATAAAATACACATATAGTAGATACACCGCATTTCGACACCTGTCGATATTATCGTAAAAGTTTTTTTAACACTCAGAATTTTTTTAAGAGCTTCACGTTGAACATTATATTTGTAAGCTCATTTCTTCTCTTAATAATTTGTTTTTTTTCACACGAAACGATTATAGGTCTTGTTCGATCGCTCTAAATAGTTGCATTGATTCGGCTTAGTCCTACTTACATGGTACAATATTGTTTTCCGCGAATGCAACAAATTAGGTAAACACGAAGTCTCACAATTCAATTCGACCGAATTTTTTATTTTTCTCATCTCATTAACGAATATAAAATAATTAAAAAAATGTATTAAATAAGAAAACATTTACTAAATATTGCCAAGTAATACTATAATTACTATATTATTTATTCATTATTGTGAATTATTTAAAAACAACGATATCAGTCTCTTTGTCAATGGAACTTCGTGTTTGCCAAATCAGAAAATGTAAAGCGAACTCAGTCTTTGGTTGGAGCGATCAAACCTTGAAAATTTTCGACGTTTCATTTGTAAAATGGCTATTGGGTCAATATTTTTAACATTAATAAATTTTATATAAAAATCCATGTACCACTATATTTCGTTTAAAGCGTTCCAACTAAAATAAACAAATGGTTTTTACAAGTACATTCTTGGAAATTTTCTCCGCATAATTATCACTCATCTTTCTCAAAATCACGGAAGATTTTTTTTAGTTTTTAATTAAATTTTGGAAAAATGATTGGAAATGAATGTAAGAAAAAAAGAAAATAATGAAAAAGAAATATGAAATATGACTTAATTTATGGATATGATTAAAAAAAGTGAAAAAATATTTCATTTTTATTTGTGAATTTGAGAAAAATGAGAGAAATAATCAGATACCTATCAGAAAGTATATACAAATGTGGCAGAAATTAGATTTCACAAAATGTTATATAATATACAGGCGAGTGAAATTCTTCACAAAATAATAAGTCCTATCCAGGATAAAATTTCTTTATTACTCCTCCTCTAAAATCGTCTCGAATTCATAAATTTTCATACACATCGCTGTGCGCCTACCACAACAACATTAATTACAGTTATTTTTTAGTTAATTACCTAAAAGTAAGAGATACAATAAGCGTAATTATTTTTATATGTACAATATATCTTTTGTTTGTTTCTTATTATGATTTTATGAAGTCTCTCTAAAATTTGCAACATTTGCACCATTATTTTTATTTTTCTCTTGATTTCGTATTACGGCTTGCGAAAGAATTTTTTATTGCATACTTGGAAAAAATTATTATGTTTTAAATCTGGAAAATGACTATCGGAAATACTCTGCCATGGCCGTTTGTAAAACTTAAATTATAAATCTTCAGTCCAAGAGGCTTAGATATTTATCTTGATCAGTGCCTACGAATTTCAAATAAACAATAGACAATGAATAAAATTGTTTTAAAATAATAGTAAAAATTATGCGACAGATACTCTTGAATTTCGTCAATTCCAAAACTCATATATTTAACGATCTATTTTATGTAACTATGTACTTTTTTTTTACATTTATCATTCCTATTAGCCACACAAGAATATGAAATTATAATTGTAGAAAGTATTTTCTTTTAAATAAAACAATTATTTTTTCCATATCATTAATTTTTAAATAAAAACATTTTAGAATCTCACAATATCATCATATTTCTTATTAACTTATGTTCTGTTCAATTCTTATATTTTAATATAACACATACATTGCTAGATAGAATCGAAGAAAATAATATAGAAAGACTAAGAAGAAAATAATAATGCGCATAAAGATATATGCAGATTAACTTCAGTTTTGTTGGTTTTATCTAATGATAATTTAATTTTATCTGAAAAAATCAAAAGAATATGGTTATGTATGAATAAATGCCAAAATATTTAATTTTTAATTTTCACACAATTATACCAGTAGATTTCAAAAACTATTTGACTGCAGGAAAATACAGATGCATAAACAATATTTTTGTAGCAATAATAGTAAAAATTCATTAATGTGAAATTACATATTTGATTTAAATAGGACTCTAATAATTGCTTATACAAAGTTTAAAAAGATTTAATATTCTAATATTTACTTTATATCTTCAGAATTCTACTGGTATGAATAAATATATATGTATAAGTTATACCCACTTTCACAAATAATGTTACTTAAACCTTACTGTAAAGTACTTAAAAAATTAATGATATATTACTTTATTGCCAATTTTTGCACAAAATAGGTAATTTTTAAGCCAATTAATACATATAATATATCATTATAAAAAAAAAATTTGATTGATTGATTGATTGATTCTTTCATATTTTGTATGGCAAATGAATTCATTAATCATTGTTATTTTCATAACTCGCAATTATTAAAATGAAAGGTGAAAATTTTTAAGTATTTTTTGTAAATATTTTAAATCTTAACATAATATCACGAACTTGTCAGTTTGTAATATAGATTCTTGTAGTACAAGCTTCTCAAACGCAACATTACAATTTGCTTTCATATTTTACATTTAACTGTAATTCATTATATGTTATTAAAATAGAAATACATGACTTTTAAGCCATAAAATAATCAGAATCTTCTGTATTATACTAATTTAAAGATTATTACTGTTAATAATAGTTTCATTATTTCACAGCCTGAAATCTTCTAACATATTACTACTGTAAAGAAATAAATTGAATATTTTTTTAAATATAAACTGAATTTATATACAGTATTGAAATAAACATACGAATCCATAATACATCAAATTAATTTGAGACAAAATGTATTAAGAATATTTATAAAAGATGTATTATACATTTTTTTAAAGAAAAATATCTATTCTATTTCTAGTATATATTTTTTTTTAAATAAAATTTACAATCATAATGTACACAGAAATATTATCTACCAAAAGTTTAGAGATTTCATATTGCAAAATAATAATTTAAAATTAATTTTTTACAATTAGTTATTAATTAATTTGTTAATAACTAATTTTCTTTTAGATTATTTCAAAAATAAGAATACCAAATTGAACGCACAAAATTTTTGAAACCTCTAAAAGAAAAAGTCTCAAACATAACTCTCTATATAATATTTCTGCAATAAAAATAATTAATGCTGTGTCTGAGAAAGCTTGTAATTTAATTTTAGTTTATTACAGATGTTCCAACAGTATCATTTGCATATGAGTAAAAAGATGACAAAGGAGTTCTGCCAAGTTTTTGATAAAAAATAAAGTTATCATTCTGTTAAATATAAAAGTTTCCTTGCATTGAACAAAACTATTTTTTTATTTTAAAAAACAGAGAATACATATATATATATTATTATAAATATATATATTACATTATTTCAATATTCATCTATTAACATTTAAGAAAATATTTATATTACGAAATGAAGAAACATAACAGTAGCCCGAAATCAATGTTAAATTTAATATACAGGAAAAAAAAAATAGAATGAACTGATTTTGTGAAGATTTAATGAAACACTGACTATGTTGAATAATAATGTTGTTCAATTAGCAAGGAAACAAACGAGAAATGAATTAGAGTTTAACTCTTTTGTGATCTCAAAATAACATAGTATTTGCAATAGAATTGACATTTCCATTGTCATCGCCATAACAGGCAACTGATCAGAGTATTTTTGCAATCGAATCAAGCCGTACCGTTTTTTGTATTAACGAGCACGTAGTATGTTCAGTCTCCAAAAGGTAGACAGACATAGATAAAGTTAGCGAAGATAAAATTAGCGAAGCCCCCAGTGACGTATTGGCGGCAACAGGGGTGCCGATAGCAGGCATCATGTCACTTCCATCGCTAATGAATTTGTTTTATTTGCTCGTACAAGTTGCTGTTGCTGTGGTTTACCATCGCAAGTCGCACTTTCCACTCCATCCACCTTCATATCCATATTTTCACTATAATTAAATATGGAATTTTTGATAATATATATTTTTATATAAAATATTTAAAAAAATATATATATATATACATTGCAAATATTAGATATACAAATATTTACCTATTACTATTAAGCGTAATTTCCCCGGACGTTGGGATTTGTTGCGTAGACGCTTGACTTTGCGTCTGTTGTTGCTGCCTTGCAAGACTCGCCAATTTGCTCTGTGCGATCAAGCCAGGTAGCAGATTGGACGGCGGATGTTTTTGTGGCAGAACTATTGTTGACTGATTATTCACGACATGAGTGCTATTTGAAAGATTATTAGAGTTATTTATATGAGGCAATGGTCCATTTTGATGTCCATTGCCAAAGTTTGTAATTGTTCCACTAGTTGTGGTACTTGCACTAAACACTCTAACTCCAGCACTACCACTGCCACAGCTGCCGCCATTCCTATTATTCGTTGGACTAGTCAAGGATTTAGACAGAATGGAAACAGGACTGCTGTTGTTTGGTAATTGTCTGTGTTGTTGCTGTTTAGACTGATTCGATTGTGTCTCGATTGCAGCATTTGCGCATTGCGTAGATACTGCATTTGATGTCGTCGGTTGATTGATTGTACATGAGAAAGACGACGGGACTATAGAACTTGTAGAAGTATTTACAACACTAAAACCACTACCACTGCACTGAGGCCGACTCTGCTGTGTTGCAGGCTGTGCAAAAAGACTACTAGGTAGCGGAGTCACAACAAAGTGTGAACTGCCCAGTTCGTCTGTCCGCGTATCGTTAGAGTTATTGTCCGACAGTCCACTAATACACGCACTACTAGTGATACTTGCCACGGCAAGATCAAAGTCCGATACAGTATCCGGCGAGAAATAATCAGCAATATTAAATTCTGATGTAAAGGGTGGTTCATCTCCTGCACGATCAGGTTCTACTTCCACACAAATAGATGTTGCTTCAGGCGGGAACGGATATGGAAGCGGTTTTGATTGAGTCAATATTGGCTCTATATCTGAGTCCGTATCACTACTTTCTTCACTTGGACTATGCACTGACACAGGTGGAGTCTTTGGTCGGAAGTGTAACCTATATTATAAATGAATTAATAAATTAATAGATTATTTTTTTATTCTGAAATGAAATTTCTATTTGTTGTTTAATATACCACTCTTTCTTGACTGAAGTTGTTGATGTGGCAGTTGTATCGGAATCCACTGGTTCCCGTTTTGGTTGGTGTATCGTGAAGTCTAAAGAAGACCACATATCATCCATATCAGTTGAACAACGGTCCAATATTACTCTGAAATTAAATATTAAATAATATTATTAAAAAATGTTATTTTTATATAAACATAAAATTTTTATAAATTTAAATATACCTGCCACCCCGACCAATTCGCCGTCGCGCAAAACCAATACATTTTGGTACGGGTTTGCTGATGCTGGTCAGTGCAAACCTATACTTCTTATCAGCCATGCCCCCTTCGTTTTTATCACACCAAGGCCAATTTCCAAATCCACCTGATACAGGCTGCAAAGAGAAAAGCTCTATATCTACAATCCTGAAAAAAAGAACTTTAAGACTATTTCCACACTTTTAATATAATTCACGACGATTTTCATTGACATCCATGATATATTAAATAATATAGCTCGCATAAAATTAGAAAAAAATCCTGTTTTAAATCCACATAACATTTGGTTTACATCTGTTTGTAAAAAACCATATGTAAAAAAGAAAAATTTGGGAGAACTTAACAGAGAACAGCACTCACTGGTAGATAAGTGCTATTTCTATTTCGTCGGAAAGCGAATTGTCCCTCATCAGCGATGTCTTCATCATCGCGATCCGAGGGAACTGAGGGCTGAGAATGTGAATGTGATGGAAGCGGACCATCTTCATCTGAGCTTATTAGCGGGTCCAGCCCGCCTCCAAGAACACTAGGCCGACTTCCTCGACCACCTCCGCTACCTGTTCCACTGCGTACACCATTATCTTCCAAACTTCCTCCTCTACTATCAGTTTTATGTTTCCTTTTCTTGTATTGTCTTTTTTCTTTTCTGGGTACTACTTCATCCTAAAATAAACAATATCAAATATATCAATAACACAAAAAATATATCATTATTATAATAATTATATAAAAATTATACGAAGAAAAAAATATATTAAAAATACTTACTTTACTACAAACTTTGTTCGCCCAATTTTGATGAACACCAAATTGATTTGTAAACAGTGGAGCAAAAGCAGGTCTCGGTGTCTTCAATGCCGATACTTCCGCCAATATTTGCCCATTAAAGTCTTGTGCTTGATATCTGTACAGTTTTTTTAATTATATAAAATTCAAAGTCTAGTTTTTCTAGAGGAAAATACAAAAGGTTTGGAAGATTATTTCCACACCTTTTCTCATATACTTCAATTGTAAGATGTAAATGTTCTCGCTTGGTTTTCTCTCTTCTTTTAACCATTTCGAAAAGGGTAACTGCTCTGCTAAGATCTCTACGGAGCTTCAGCATTTTTTCGTAACTAGTTTCATCGTTTTTGCGATTTTTACGTGTTTGCATTTTTTCCGTTTTACGTCTAAACGCTAAATAAGGATTATTGGCAGCTGAACCAAACCGATGTTCTGTTTTTACTGTTAATAATAAAGGATGTTGCTGAAAAAAGAAAACATCATGTGATCATATTAATAAATTTTTATCATTAATTATCTATTACACAATTACACAAATTAAAATTTATAATATGTAAAAACTTACTGTTTTAAGACGTTTATTTAGCCAATAATCAAACACAGCAATAATTAAATCATCATCTTCTTTCAGAAGTGCTTTAGCTTCATTAAGAGTGACTACAGTTTGTCCTGAACTTTTTTCCAAGCGATCCATCATTTCTTCAAACTGAAGTGGAGTCAAATCCATTTTACGGCTTTGTATTGCAACCCATTTTTCATCTTCAGAATCCATATCGTAATCCGGAATATCTTGTTCCATTGCAAAAGCTTTAAAAAAATTCCACATAATTATTAAATTATTAATATTACAAATATAATTAATTATTGAATATTAAACTTAATTTATTATATTTTCTTACGCTGCATATGTATAAGTTGACGAGGTAGCTTATAATCAGCTGGATATATCTTATCATAAGCTTCTACATCTGTTAAATCAGTTACTTCAGGGGTAGGAATGATTAAACCCGTGCATATTGCTCTTTGCAAGTGATGTTCCTATGTAAACAATTAATGCAATAAATAATATATAATTTGAAAAACCAGTTAAAATTTTTACTTTTACATATATTACTGTAAAAAGAATAAGAAAAATGATGTATCACATTTAAATATAATATATAACAATGTTTAATAATATATTATCAATAATATATTTGTAAAAATATATATAGAATATATGTCAATAAAAGCAAATGAAATATATGTAAAATGCAAAAGTAAAACAGAAAATAAATCTTTAATAATATAATCCATTAAATAAAACTATATTATATTTCAATATATATATATATATATATCATTGTCATTTTTTCATTTAATATATTATTCATTTAACATATTAATAATGAATTAATAATAATATAAAATATGGATAATATAGATTAATATAATATTGATAATCCAACAAACAATGTATAATTAATCGCTTATTGTTTATATATTTGAGAAAGGAATTAGAACAATTATTGCTCAAAAATTATATTGCAAGATATATATGTAAAGAAATATAACATTTTAACTTGAAAAAGCTTAAAAATTAAAAATTCTTATACGTTGAATAGCAACGTTGGAACATCTATTTTGATTCTCTCATTAATTTGATATATGAAGCTGACAACTGGCAATAATGGTGTAACAAGATATATAAAAGTATAAAGAATAACAATAACATAAAAAATAATGTTATCAATTACGTTTAACAATAAATATAAGGAATTTCTATACATAATAATGATAAGAAAGGTGCCATCTGCCGGTTGTTTACGAAGATGCGCCTGAGAGTAAGATGGCGGACAGGGGAACATGCTGGAAGAAGGCTGAACGTTCGACTTACACATTCCTCCTCCTTTTCCATGCCGCTGGGCATTTGGGGCAGAGAACGATTAATGGCCGAGTAATCTGGTAAATCCGGTAATTCCTCGGCCATATAAATCGGCATGGGTTTGGAAGCGTCCAGGGCACGGGCCCTGAACGACAGCTTGCTCATCCTGCGGCTGGTTCGCGTGTTGACAACCGAGTTGGCTGGTGTCGAACCGTGAGGCCAGTCGGATCGGCTCGGGCCTCGGACTTAGGGAACGTGAACCTGACTGGGCCTGGTTGGGGGCCCTGCGGCCGTAATACCCGGCACAGAGAGCGCTCAGGGCCTCATCGTTCTCCGGCCATCGCGCTGGAACACGGTCACTCAGTCACCAAACGAGATATATCACTTCGAAAACATGTTTGCGTGACACGGTCCCTGCTCAAAGCCATCATGGCCGACGCACAGCCATTTAACACGTTCAGCTCGAGCAGTTCCGCGATGCGACGTGCGCCGCGCGGGAATCGGCTTGCTACCGCCACCGGTCGACTCACGAGCGTCTATTGGACGCTTAGCATTTCCCCTCAATACAAGTCTCGTTCACACTACCTAGGATTATCATAAAATTCAAAAATCAATGGAATCAAATTTGTTTAAAAATATTTGTTGATATTGATTGTTTATATTAACAATAAAATTAAATGCTGTATTTAGATTTTGAAAGTTTTTGAAAACACGTGTTATGTTTATATGTTAATTATTTGACGACATCTAAGTAATAGTTTTCTTTAACCTATATCGTTTTATATTTCGTTTATATATGAAAAAAAATTTTTAACTAAATCATATTATTAAAAAATATTTATAAGATTCCAATTAAAAAAATACATTTAATAATTTTTCACTTTAAGTTAACATTTTTTCATTATGTTATGAAAATTTCAAAAATATGATAACTATGGTATATATTTATATCTGTTACATTAATAATTAAATAGTAAAAAGATTGAGAATTAATTAAACTTAATAAGAATTTTTTGTTATTATTATAAGATAAGTATGTGTTTTGTATTTTAAGTACCTATAATTTACGCAAGCGTCGCATATGTGAGGATATTTCAAATTTTAAATTTTTCATGAAATACAAGAATTGAAAATTAATTAATTTTATTAAATGACATTATTTATTGTTTTAATTTACAATATCAATATTAAAATTAAAACACAATTTAGTTTAACTAAATATTCTTCTAACGCATTTTAACATTTCATAATATAAAAAAATATTCCATTTAAATTTTCTTAGATAATATATTTATGTGTTAAAATAAAGAAAATTAGAGAAATTTAAATAATAATTATATTATTATATTATGAAAATTAATGAAAAGAATTGAAATGTAAATGAAAAAATATACATATTAATATTTACAAAAAATTCCCTTATGTTCTACAAGAAATGTAGGTTAGATGAATTGATGCAATATATCGAAGCAATAAATCTAATGACAGGTATCAATTATATTACTTTAAAATTAATATTAACGACAGTTAAATATTGTGTGTTTTATTTAATAAAAAAACCTTTTATTGAAGTTAGATCATATTCGCACGTGTTGATATGGCGCAGAATATTGCAATTCTGTCCACGATTCCTAGGTTATCTTACCATCTTCAAATGCAACTTCCAAACTTAATGATATTTGACGTTTCGCCAGGTATTACTTTTGACATACACTTTCTTTCATACTAATGAGCTCGAATATCTTTGGCTCACAAAACTAGCAAGCACGTGTTTAAACGCACTTTTATTACTACGTTTTTCCGAATACTATATTTGCACATTTGAGATTTAGTTATTGGCGGAAAACTCACCCTGTTTAAATTCCTAACACGTTCTTTGAATATAGTTACATTACGATTTACATATTATAGTTTTTTTTAATATTTTACTGCAAAATTTTCAAAAATTATTTATAAAAACCTTTTTTTTTGATTTTATATAGTTTTATTATATAATATATTTATGAATATATTTTTCGATGGATTAGATATTGAATTTCTTTCATTTCAGATAAATATGATACATTATCAAAATTACAAAATGCAGATATATTGATAACTGATTGCGATTTATTTTTACCATATATAAATAAATTACCATCTTTAAAGTGGGTACAAACAACATGGGCTGGTATTGAACCATTAGCTTCAAATTTAAAAGATAAAAATATTAATTATTCTATTACACGCTTCTCAGATAAATCTTTTGGTTTAGCTATGTCTGAATATGTGATAGCACACATTTTTAATTTTGAACGTAATCAAAAGCAGCAATATCAAAATCAAAAACACAACCAATGGATGAAAGATGGAAAAATTTCTGATCATAGACTTATTTGTGACTTATCTGTAGGTATTCTAGGTTTAGGAAATATTGGCAAATCAAGTAATTATTTATTTTATAATAATATAAAATATAATAGTTTTATTTATTTTATATAAAACTTGCAATTTTTACAGTTGCAGAAAAATTAAAAATATTTGGAGCAACTGTATGGGGAATGTCAAGAACACCACTTAAAGAAAATTTAAATTATCTTGATGAACATAGAACAACTGCATATCTGTCTGAAATACTAACAAACTGTGACTATATTATTAATGTTTTACCATCTACACCTAATACTTTAGGATTATTAAATGGAAATGTATTACAAAGTTGTCAAAATCGGGGCAGTGTTTTTATCAATATAGGTCGAGGTACAATTATTAAAGAAACAGATTTATTACATGCTCTTGAGCAACAATGGATTTTAGGAGCAATTTTGGATGTTTTTGAAGAAGAACCATTATCAAAAAAAAGTAAATTATGGACATTACCACAGGTAATATTATAATAAAGCATAAATATTAGTATTAGTTAAAATTAAATCCAGCTTTAACTAATTAAATATTTTTATATAGGTTACTATTTCACCACATATCTCAGGTATATCTCGTGCTCAAGATGTTGTGAAATTTTTTATTCAAAATTATGAGAAATATATCAAAGGTGAAACATTGTTGAATAAAGTAAATTTAGTAGAAGGTTATTAAATATAAATAGTTTAATAATATGTAGAAATTTTCTATCAAAGTTTTGAATACTTTTAATACAATATAAACTTAACTAAACTTATTAAACATAATTTTATGATTTATAAAATAACTATTTTAATAATTTATTATAATATATATTATAATATATATTATTATTAAAAAATATTTTTTGAAAAAATAATTATTCTGTTTCTTGAACAACTGGACTTGAAAATGGTTTCAAACCTCGTATTGTAAGATCATAAACTACTTCTTCCACTTTTTTAACAGCATATTTTAGGCCATCAAAACGTTTTCGTAGAGAATCATTTTTTAAATTTAAAAGTCTAAAACCTGCATTTAAATCATTTACAAAACGTGCTATTTCTATAGGTCGATTATAATCACCATTAGTAACACTATTTACAGCAAAACGACTCTGAAATATAATATTTGAATGAATAATGATAATATAGTATTGCATGATATACTTACCAATTCAGCAGACAATTGTAGTAAACCCATTAAGTAATCTTCTAAATCCAAATGAAAACCATCTTCTCTATTATTTTTAACTACAAGTACATATTATCAATTTTGAATAAAATATATAAATAAAAATAAAATAAAATTTATTTAAACAATTACATACCTCCTAATATTTCTGCAACAGTTTCTTTGGTAACCAAAACTTTAATTTCTAAATATATTATTAAGGAAGCTAAGAAACATAATTTTTGTGTAACAAAACGCCATTGATCATGAAATCTATAATATTGATCTCTTGGTACAACTTCTGCAAGTCTTATATAGTTTTTACGTACATCTTTAAATAATTCTCTTGATGTTGCACAATATTGAGATACAACTATAAATGGGAAAAAAATAATAAAATATTTTAGTAGTTTTATAATTAATTAGACACACATACTTATGTTTTCTTCCATGTTATTTTCATTATGAATATTTTGCAATATCATCAGAATATCTCTGGCACTTTTTTCAAGATTTTTTACAATAGCACGGATTTCCTTTGGCACAAAAAAAAAAATAATTTTAATTTTCTTCACATATAATATATTTTTAATTACTATTAATTGACTATTTTAAAAAATTAACGATGTGATATGTCAATATATTCTAACCTAAAATGTTTATGAAATTAACAAAAGAAGTATTTGATAAAAAATAATTCATATTATTTATAATTATGAAATAATTTATTGAAAACTAAATAAGATAATGTGATGTTTAAAAAAACTGTTAAAATAGTAAATCATTTGACATTTACATTATTTTGACTTAATTTTAATATATATAATATATTAATATATACCTCTCGCAATTCTTCTTCGTTATTTAAATAGTCCTGAAAAGAATTAAAAATTTCTGAAATTCCATCACCCATATTTTTTAAAGTTTAAAAATTTCTGTAAAAAAAATTGCACGTTAATATTTTAGCATAACACTTGCGATAACACTTCAATATCTCCAATAGTAAACAATTTATATAATAGATGGCGTCATCAATTGTCAAATTTTAAATAAACATATTATTATTGTAATAAATACAAATATATATAATATTGATATATCTTCATATTTTGTATTTTTTCATCTTATAAACATAATCTATAATAAATATTGATATAATATGAATGGAAATTTAATGTATAATTTTTTTCTTACTATTATTACTATTTCGAAGATACACTATGGTAGAAAAATAATTCCGCGTAAACAAAAAATAAATCTATATCAATTGCAATACTATATAAATTGATATCATTTACTTACCATATTTGATTTAATAACGTATTTCCATACTCTACTAAAATCACTTTTGAATATTTTTTTAAATATAATTTTTTAAATATAATTTTATTATGTTTGATATATATGTATAATATATTTAAATACTACTTAGACATTCAAAAATAAATCTAGAAAAAAAGTATATAATAGTATACTTTATAAAAAATTTTTTTTTTATCATAAAAAAAAATATTTGATATGACGATATTACATATCAAATATTATATGTATTGCTATATAAAATAATGATTAACATTAACTAATATAAGTATAAAATTTGCTAAATGCATAAAGAATTAAAAAATTAAATAATCATTTTTTATAACAATGATAGTTACGATAGAAATTTATACAGATCGAGAACCGAGTCCGTAAGCGCGTAAGCTGTAAGCTGCAAGGTCTCGTGCGGTATATAAATAGAAACCAGTAGGTCCTGCTGTGAAGTCGAGGAAGGTGGTTGGAATTCTACAGGATGCCTCTACGTAGCTCTTAGAGTATACCTCAGGGAATCTGCGGGCGTGTCATTGATCCCAATACACGCGTTCAAGAATCCGAACGAGACTGACTTTATTGAAAAGTTTACGCCCACGTTTACGAGCTCACAAGAGGTGTGATCAATTTTACTAGAAGTTATTGGATAAATTAATTTGATGGAAATAACAATGATATTTAACATTGGTATTAATATCAAAGATAGTTAATCCTTTAAAAATATCTTTCATTACTATATTATACATGATAAAATATATTAAAAATTTCACTTCACATAAAAAGTTAAAGATTGAAACTTGTATCTTTAAGCGTATTTATATATTTATATTTTTCATTTTTCTTATGGCCATAATTGATTCAAAAGGATAGATATCCTTGTTGATGACCTTCAATGCGGTTTAAACATCTTCACGCTTCATCTACAATATCCCAAGGTCACTGCATTGTAATTCCAGCTAAGAAGTTTTACAGGTAACGATGAAGTTGATTAATTTAAACGATTAATTATTATAAAAATAATAGAATAATTTTCAGAAAAATAGTTTTGGATTTAGATTTTTTTCTTTTTTAATATATTTTATGTATATCATATTTATATTTTTACAAATAATAATATATATAAACATATATGTAAATATTAAATAATAACAATTATTAAAATAGTAAAATTATTTGCATTGACGTATACATGTAATTACTAATTAATAGATTAAAAACAAGTTTATCGAAGAGAAGAAAAAAGATGATAGAGATAAGAAAAAAGAAAGCTGGACAAGAACAATCCGTTAAACATTCAATTCTCAAAGCATCAATCTTAAATAAAATTTTAGATTTTTGTAATTGTAGATTGTTGTAAATTTTTTTTATATCAATGCAATATAAATATAACATTTAATTTTATTTGTACAATTTTATCTTTTGAAGATTTAATTCTTGTAAAACATATTTTATTGCAATTAATCTATTAATTCGTAAAAGCTATTCTGCATTTGAATCAAGTTAAGATTTATTCGAAATTTTTGCATAAAATTCATATATTACGAAACAGATTCAATTCGATACATTATTTTCTTTCTTTTTTTTTTTTTTTTAGTAAGAAAATAAGCCAAAATTGCAAGCATTTGTGTATTTAGCTAATTCCAATTTAAAATTGATGGATCTTTTTAAATTAAAGTTTCAGACATTTGATAAATGTTATAATTAATATTCATGATTTTTCATGAATCGTTATCGTCATGACTGTTATACGAAGCGTAAGAGGAATCTAGTAGCTTCTCAATATTTGTACGTTAAACAGGCTTCCTTACTCGTTTTCGTCGCGCTAATGTCAATACACCGATAGAGATATGCAAACATGAATACACCAACGAGAGAATTGTTCGATTCCTTTAACATCCTTATTAAATACAAAACATTAAATTGTATAGTTTTTTAAATTGCACTACTCTTTGATAACTCTATCGTGATTATATTCTTATCGTGAATAATACAACGTGACGAAGAGTACAAAAACGATGCACTTGTAGTTTGCATCGAAATTAAACAAGCAATATTATACAAGAGACCAACTCATTTCGAAGCTGTGTTGCAGACAGAGCACGTCGATGTGAATAACAGTTAGTGTTCAACATACGCGTAGCACACGTGAAATGCATCAGCGTAAATGTCAGGGTCATCTGCATACATAGTAGACTTTCAAATAAACGTCGATTAAATACTGATACTTTTACTAAATTAATATAACCAAGATACCAAGTTTATGCGATATTAATAGATCATAATAGTTAATAAATCATATAAATATTAAGGATTCATAAAAAAGCGAATAACAGATTATTAATTGAATTTAATTAATTGAATATAAATATAAGAATTAAAAGATAAAATAGTTATTTTAATATGTATAGTTACGAAAGGGAGACTTCGTAGCATCGTGATAAAAAAATGTCCCCGGGCACTACTTTTTTTACATCACTGCTGGAGAATTTCCTACCCGCTGGCTGCTCGCCATTACGAATCACAGTACTGGCATAATATCGAACCGTTAAGAGCCAAGAGCGCAACAGAAGAATCTATGGAATCCAAATAAACGTTTTGAAATTATATCGTGTATTTTTTTACAATATTAAACAATATGTATTATAAAGAAATGTATGTATGTATAATGAATTAAATATAAACAACTTACAAAAAATCATATCCGCTAGGATATTCCATTTTGCAATTTTCTTTCGCCTTTGATACTATGATCTTCTTTTTAATTATATTTCTATGAGAAAATATGTATCGGCATAATTATTATTTTTTAAATTTTTTAGATTGACAGTGTAGTATAATATCGTAGATCTGTGGTAACGAAAAAACAAGAATGTAAAAATTTTGCTGATCCGAGGATTGTGGATAAAACAAAAAGATTATTTTGGTAAAAATAAATTGAAATTATACGCATATATACCACGCATATATTGTGAAGTAGAAAAGCTCCGATATTGTCAGCCCATATACAATAAGAGAAAATTCTGAATAAGAGGATAAGTCGGTACAAATGAAATGATAAATGGATCTGCAAAAAGAGATCGTTAAAATAGTAAGAATTAAGAAACAGTTTTCTATAGAAAGATATCAAAGAACTCCAGTACTTCGCGTTCAGACACGAGAAGCAAAACACATCAGCAGGGAACCAACAGGTTTGACTTGCTGGACTAGTTAATAAATTACCGTAGTCTGCCGCCATCTTCATCTTCAAAGTTGCAAATGAGAATTCGAAATATTGTCAATTGTAAAATAAAATTTCTTGTTACAAATCCGACATTCTGTCAAACGGATAAACAGGTTTTCTATACCTAATATGAATGCTTATTCCTGAAACGAATATGTCTAATTAACGAATAATGTTTAACATTAACTCAGTTGGCCGTTATCTCATGCAATTATTATATTCATATTTTAAAAAATTTTATTCAGAAAAATGATAAACGTTGAAATTGTTGTATTGAAAATTCATTCAAATATTATTATTTCAAAAGATCACAATTATTGCTATCAAATTACAACTTCTTTGAGCATCTATGTCTTGTCCAACAAGACCCTCTATCTACACTTTGGAGAACATTATGATGTTTCACAAATTTGAGTTTCTTGATTTTTTTGAAAATCGAATAACAAAAATTGAAAACATAGATATGTAATAATTAAAATTTGGTAAAATTATTATTGCTTTCAATTGTTTATTATTTTTACGGTATATTTTAACATTTAACATGTTATATATGTATTATATTATATATAATGTGCATAATTTTGATCCATTTTTCGCACATTTCACGCAATCACAAATAGCATAAACATTTATATTAGCGATGCAGCTGGATAAGTGGGTAGACTCACGTAGTTCGTACGACCTTCATAAAAACTCGTCGATCAGAGATTGCCGGGAATGTTGAGTGAGAACTCGCCGTCTACGGGGTGGCGAATAAAAAAGTAAGCGCCTACCTTGGCAAACGAGACACTGATACTAACTACCATGTTGATTAAATGGTAGTACAATAATGAAAGTAAAAAACGACACTAACTGCGCGAGGAAATGTACTAGGTAAACAAATACAACGACATCTCGGTTACAGTTATATTTTGGTATGAAAAAAAAATAGGTCTCCATTTATAGATCAAACAGACCAAGATAATCTATTTATAGACGTTGCCTTTTATTTCTATTAAGAAATTGTTTTTCTCCAGACAATGCAATTTGTTAAAAAAGCAAAAAGAGGAGAAGAAATTTGCAAAAGGAATTCGAACCTTCTTTTTTTTACAGTGTTGAATTAATGATTTAAAAAAAATGGAATGATTTCTGAAAAATGAAAATTTGTGCGATTGCATTCAGAAATTCACTGATATATTAAAAAGTTCTAGCGATTTTGCGAGGATTCAAGGTTCATGCAAGAGAAAGATAGAGACAAAGAGCAGTCCATAGGTTAAGTCCCCACCTAAGAGACCCCAAGAAAAGATGCTGGCCGCTCTCACGTGGTTAACGCACATAGATACATATATTATCCTGGCGCGCGCACACCTTGGCCTCCCGTGGTTCGGCGGTTAGTGGTTAGTGGGTGCACAGGTTGCCGATGTGCGCACATACCGTGCGTGTTGTCAAGCTATGCCACAGGCCAATCCGGTGCCACGTATACCAATCACTGTTTTCGTTAACCGCTTCCTCACATTTTATCTTTCGAAAGACACGTGAGTTTTCGTTGTCTTTCCCGACTATGTGGTTGATTTCTTTCGCTCAATCACATAAATGACCGTTCCTCTGCCTGACCGTTTCGCGTGCTATTGTCTGTGATGTTTCTGATATCAGTGTAATGTGCGATGACACGCGGGAAAACCCTGGATTGTTGAAGAGATTTCACAATGAACAGGATGTATTTACAAATCTTTATTGGCGTGACGTTAATCTAAGTGGGAAATCGTTATTAATTCTATTTGATTTCGAAAAACATGCGATAATAATTTTGCCACGAGTGCAACAGATTCGATACATTAATATTCATAAGTTTGTCCGATGTGAAATGCTCCAGTTTTAAATGAATAAGAAAGTTTTTACCCTGGTGAACATTTAGTATCCGGTTGAGCGATCGTGTACATTGTAATTACGATGAAACGTCGATATTTTAATTCTTGGATATGGAACAGCTTCATTCCGAAGCATACGGATGCCACAGGAGAAAGTGAAACATTCGGAAACACGAAATAACCAAGCCTTTGTCGATGATTCTGACTTTATGTAACCGTGCTAGTCAGACATTGCACGTGCGGTCGTTAAAGTCTCCACGCCTCTGTTGGTTCTCGCATTGAAGTTTCTCGAGGACGTTTCTCTTTGGAAGTGAACGAGTAATTTAATATCAATGTGAATTAAACAGTTGACCGAATTCCTCCTGCAATAAATATTGAAATTATATTGTAAAAGCATCGATAAAAGTGTTCGACTGAATATTGTTTTTTTTTTTATTTCTTTCTCATTTATCACATAATGAAATATATAAAAAATATATATATATATATATATATTAAAAAAGAAAAAAATAAAACAATAAAATAATCCAAAATAAAAAATATGATAAGAAAAATATTTAACAATAAGAGACGACTTGAGAAAAGAACGAGAAGGAACAGAGAGGAGGAGCAAAAGATAGAAGAAGTGAAGGTGGAGGAAGAACAAGCAATGAAAACATTTAAACAGAGACCTTCGTATTATTGCTACAGGAGGAGGAGGTCCTGTGCCACGAGAGAGGCGGGAACATGCCTAGCGATTTGAATACCAAATCGCTGCTCTTGTGCAATTCCTTTGCTTTTTTTTATTCCCTCCAGTCCCTACGACCTCTTCACATCTACCTGCGTGCCTTGCGTATTTTTAGGCATGACACGCTTTCTTTGTGCCGTCCGAAGCACTGTCGTAAAAAGAGTTCCTTCGAAAAAACTTCATATGCCAGCAAGATTGACTTTTCCTTTATGGCTGCATGGCAATAAAAAAAAAAATAAATAACAAATTTTAATTAAACAATTATTTGTTTAAATTTAAAAGCAAAATGTGACTAGAATAAAAAAGAGAAGATATTCTTAAAAAGTTACTTCTACAATAAATTAATTCATATATTAAACATAAAAAATACGTGAGAGAAATTCATGTTGCAAAATTTATCAAATGACAATATAATTAAATGACTTGACTAGGGGACAGAGTAACTTGATTTAGCCTCTCCTAGGCTTTGTCTGTATATAAAGAACGGAGACATAGCCTAGAATAGGTTAGGTCAGGGCTCGTTCAACATGATTATCTTCATACTACTTCTTATAACTACTTCTTCTCATCCAAGGTCAAGCTCAAGGTCAATAAGCAATGGAAAATGTCAAAGGAATATTATAGGTACAATATTTCTTTAAGAATTTACATCTCCTAAATTAATAATTTTGCTTGATCTCTAACTTAATTATTTAAAACTATATAGACTAGTGTTTTATTGTACTTACATTTATGTGTAAAAGATATTTAATTATATTTTATCAAGTAAAATTTATATTTTCATATATTTTAATAATTTTCTATATCCACTTTGTATATGTATATACGAAAAGATTCTTTATTATTTAAAATTTACCGATAAATACTTTTCTTTGAAATTTACAATCGATAAGGAAGAAAATATTCTTTATACCGACAATAACACTTCTTTACCTTCTACTACTGATAAAGATAGTAGAACAATAAGTAGTTGGAGAGAAAACAAGAAAAATATGTTATTCTACCAAATTTTTCCTTTTATGTTCTATATTTCTATATTTAAAAATTATATCTAATTTAATTCATTATAATTTCTGATTCTGAATTTAAATTAATAAAGTTAATTAAAAAAAATAAGATCTTTTTTTGTTACATATAATATATTCTTTGTATCTATATAAGATAAGAATAATTATAGAAATTCAAAAATAAATTATTAAGATATTAATTATTAGAATATATTTTATAAGTTTGTTTGAAACATCACATAATTATATTCGAATATTTAATTGTTCAATAGAGTAAAAATAATTATCATAATAATAATCAATAATAAAATTAAATAATTATTATAATTAATTATAATCATAAATGATTTTCGATTTCAAAAATTGATAAGATTTTATTAAATATAAAATATTAAAATATTAATATTTATAATTATTTTAAAAATAATATTAAAAAAAGAAATCTGTTCTTTTTTAAAATATAAACAGAAGGTATATAATATCGATAATAAATTCATTCTTCTTATTTCAAATATATTTTTTACTAACTTAAAAAGCTGAGCGAATACAGAATTTAAATTTCCTTGTTTGACTATTCTTAAATATTTCTGTCATTTATGGTAGAATTATAGTGGAATAAAAGATATACATACATAGATACATACATAGTATCTGTAGTGTCTAATTCGATTCTCGAATTGCAACTGCTCGCATCGATTCGTCAAATACTTTCTTTATTTGATCTTACTTTACAATTCTAAATGTTTTTATATCATTTGTCAATATTATAAAATAAAACGTAGAAATTCTTTCAAAATTTGATGTTTTTTTTTTATACGATATACAAGCTGTATCGGTTCGAGAGATCGAATTCAATTAAAATGACTTATATATGACATTAATAACGATCATAATTATTATGACAGTCAATATTACGAATAATTTACTACATATTGCCATGAAATTTGCAAATTAGCATATCGATTTTTTCTTACAAATTATATACAAGTTCTTGTGAAATGAGTGCTCTAAAAGTATTATGAGATAAATATACATTTATATTTAGAAGCTATAATTGCAATCGTTTCAACGATTTTCTTTTATATGTATTGCTGTATTATAAATTAACCAATTCATTATACATATCTTTTATGAAGCATTGAATCACTTTATTCTTTTATATTTTGTTTTTTGAATCTTCCGAAAAACCTATTCAAAAATCGCAGTTATTGACACATTTGAAAAACAAAGCTATCAGAAATATTTTAAAAATTTATTCATATGTTTTTTTCTTTTTTGATCTAAATAATTTTTAAAACAATAATTTAAATATCAAAGTTTTTCGTATGTAAAAAGTTAAATATTAAATCTGCTCATATTAAGAAAGGAAAGAATTATATATTTTTTATGATAGAAAGCATAGAAAAAAATATTTTTAATGTAACTGATCAAATATAAAGAAGATTTATTTTATTACTCTGTATCTATCTTATAATTAACAGTCTGTATTAAATCGACTGAATGTTTTATGAGTATTTAAATGAATGTTCTAATACGCAATATTCTACTACTTTTTCAAATTAATGTCTTTTAATGAACTATTGTATTAGCAAATAGTATTATAATCCACTTTTTTAAGTACTGGTTGCATAACTTGATAAATATTATTTTCCATTTATAATAATAATTAAAATGTTTTACATGATCAACAAATCAATTATGAAAATATTAATGAATTATGCAAAATAGATATTACATTAAAAATGCTATATGTAAACAAAATAATTCGTAATTTAATAGAATAAATATCTTTTTTTAAAAAGAAAAAATAAAAATTGCAAGTGTTTTATTCTGAAATTGAATCATATACTTAAAATAAAATATCGTGGAAATTTCTTAATAGAAGGTGCAACCAGAATTAAGTTTCGAAAAATTAAAATCTTTTTCTTTTCTTATCATTAAACAATGTGCTTCTGTCTATTTAATTAATTAAATATTGCTTATTTAAAAGTCAAAAAGCAGTCTCTCTTATAAAATCAAATATAAAAAGTACGATGATTATCAATTGATCTTATTTTTAATTTAAACAGAATAAAACAAAGAAATAAAATAAACATTTAAATGTATAAAAAATGTTATCAAGTACAGAACATAATACTATATATTACTGTTATATCTTTGAATTAGATGTCAACTTTTTATAATATCGAAAAAATAAAAAAGAAAAAGAAAAAAGATTGTATACAATTATTTGCAATTATTCTTCAAGATAAAAATAATATTTATGTTTAAAATATAATTGTATTAATTATATATTATTTATAAATCATTCTCAAAGTATTTTACATGATAAAATGTAAAATACTCCTTGAAGTTATATTATCTGATCATCATCATTATCATCTGATCAACTGATAATCAATCCGTAATCAAAATATTTATTATTGTTGTCCAATTACATTCGCTAAAAAAAGATTTTCAATTATTAATGATTATTTAGCAGCTTTCTTTATATATATATATATATATATATATATATATCTTATTTTATTTTATTTTATTAAATTTATTNT